GTAGGGAAAAGGTCATCCAGTGAACTCAAAATAAAAAAAAAATTTAATTTAAAAAACACATTTTTCTTAGCCAAGTTCAATCAAAATAAGTCATCGAGTCATGATAATAGAAAATTTATTAAAATATAAATACAAGAATTTTACTTCACCAAGGCAGCAATCAAATTAATATTGGAAAAACTTGTTCCTTGAGTAAGACTCAGCTAGTCGAGGTGATGGTCATGGATAATCTTTTTGGAGAGATTAAAGAGTTAACAAAATTTTGGATCTTTACTTTAATGTTAAAGGAAGTGTTCTAGAGTTTATAGTGAAATGATGATGAAATTAGAGGGAGTACGGAGGTAGAAATGCCAAGATTAAACCAAATGGGACTAGTTACCAATTATTTAACTAGTGTTAATTATATTTTGCCTTATATTCAATGCTATGGAAATGGAAGTAAGTTGTGTTTTATATTAATAAAGGCAACATGGATGGTACAAGTAGTTTTTCTTCTTGTTTTTATGAAATATGTTAAACAGGTAGCCTTCTTAACACTGCTATTGTCGGATCCCAAACCCTGGATGTAAAAAGTGGAGGGTTACATTAGATAGTCGACAACCAGCGCAAAATTTATCGAAAAATCATAACACTAATACTTTAAATCCATGTATAAATGCTAGTACGTCCCCTGAAAGCGACAAGCTATATGGCTTGTTGTTGTTGTTGCTGTATTTAAGAAGCCTTATTCCTAAGTTGACTTCTACTCAACATAGTAGGCGGCTTGTAAAAAATTAAGGTTTATAAGTGATAATCCTTTGTTAGCCTAAGAGATTATTCATGATATTAGCCAGATAAATACAATTGAGAATATGGCATTGAAAATAGATGTAAACAAGAACTATGACAGGGTTCAATGGGACTTTCATTATAAAATGAAAAAACATTGTAGATTTGATGATTTTTGGATTTGGAAGACTAACGTGGCCATTTATTTCATTTCAAATTGTTGGGTTTCCGTAATGGTGAATGGTCAATTTTCAAATTTTTCTAAAACTAGCAGAGGTCTTAAACATGATGAGCCCCCTCTATACTAATTAATTCATTTTAGCAAATGAATTTCTAATGAAGTCCTTCTAATTTAATCCAAGGATATCATTCCATTATTTAAAAGTACGGTGATAATGTTGTGATCATATTGATAGTCACATTTACTAACGGTTGTTCTTTCTCTTTACCTAAGCGTATGGATTTCCCGAATATCTATTATAATTGGTGAATTGTGCAAATAGTGATTTTGTGCTTATTATTCCCCCTATCAAAAAAAAAATATTATTTAATAACACATTTTAATGCTCCACTTTATAAAGAGCATAAAGAGGCAATTCATTTTTATGATTTTACAAGCAAAGGTCAAGGTAGAATTTTTAGTTGAGACTATGAGCTATTATCTAATAGCATGTGCAATGCTTTATTGAAAAGTGATTGAAGTTCAATGCAAGTATAATAGCTTTAAAGCCTCCAATGTTGCAATTCAAAGACTAGAAAATTATTCAATCTCTTTTTGTTAGCAATGAGTATCAAAGAAACATTTACAAGAAAACAAAGTAAGATTTTAATTACCTTTTTAATTCACAAATATTATTAAGGTAATCATCCCATGCAGGCAATGTTTAAATTGCACAGCTCTCCAACTTGGAAGATATTATGCATGTTCGAAGCTTTAGAAGTAAAAGAGGTTGTTAATGGGCTTACAAAAGGGAATAGTTTCTTCGGGTGTGGATTTGGATTGGTGAATCTACTTTGGCTCATTTATGCCATTCCATTTCTCATTATTCAGCAAAGGACAATGATTTCTTTGATTTAAATGGTTGAATAATTTCAAATTTACATAACCAACTCTACAAACAGTTAGGGTTTGTTTGGGGCAGCTGCAGTTGTTTGAAGAAGCAATAGTGAAGATGCTGAAAAAGAAGTTGTTTAACAAGCTGCGAGTTGTTCTTCAAAAAATTATGGTGGCTACTACATTTTTTTTAAGTCAAGTCGTAGCTTTCTAGAAGCCACCGCAGGTAGTCAGGTCTTGTGGGAAAATGCAACTTTTAGTTGCAACTTTTTGAAAAAGCAGAGAAAATGCAGTTTTGCCACACATGAAAAGTTGTGGTGCAACACCGCACTGCCACCATACTGCCACCCCAAATGCATCTTAATGGATATTGTTAATGATCTTGCTTTAAAGATGAAAGAGATTAACATGTTGTCGGTCAACTTTTTCAATTGATAGATAGATTTGAAAATATGAATATGAAAATATAATTTTGGAAATTTAATTTAATATAATAAATATATAGTTTGGGTTTTGAAAGCAGTATGTTTTAATTTTTGAAAAATGAGACCAAATGGTTCATTGGTCTGATAGTTTGCATAATCGTGCCTGATACCGCGAATGCTACACCTTCCCGAGAGATAAGTGTAGACCTCAGCGATAGACCCAATCCTGCAAACTAAGAGATTTGTGACATCCGTTTGGTCTGCGAACCTTTTATATATGACCGACAAATTCCCCTATTTAATACAAAGATTAAATAGGGTTTATTTTACCTGGGTTCCAAGTTCCCTATAGAGGCAAGCCCCTATAGTTAATTACATCCCAAATGACGGGAGTCACTTGAGAAAACTCTCGATAATGATCAATGGTTCTAGTCTTCAAGAATTCAAGGTTCAGGTTTTCAAGGTAGGATTAGGAAAACCAAATGGGAATGGCTCAATGAGGAACACTTATTTTTTTTTTTAGTCCAAAAAAAAGAAAAGGTAGGGGATGTCATAGATCCTGAGGAGAATCCCAGTGACTTCCCAAACTATCCTACTGTGTGACTGCATTTTTAGA